TGGAAGGAACATGAAAATATCTGGGTTGGATCCATACTCCTTTAAGATGACGGCTTTCAGGTTGAGTTTTTGCTTCAATGCTTTCACTCCGAATTATCATGTCGCACAGACCACTAGAATGTGTAACTATAGTCTCGCATGTAGAAATTGAATCATTGGCCTCTAATAAACCCTTTTCTCTCTGCTCGTTCTTTAACTGAAAAATATTTTTACGTGTGGTGTAGTGCAATACTGATGAGGAGGGAGATTCATCTTTGGTCACAACCAAACGATACTGGTTCCATTGTCTGGTCTTGTTAGAAGCGTTGAAGGTAACCAGACCATTCTCTCCGTCCAAGAAATGAAATTCCTTCTTTTCATAAAACAAAGTTGTTTCTATTTTTCTGAATTTGAGCCTCAAAAAGGAGGACTTAGCCCATTGATATTCCCCCTTGCAAAGCATGGAGAGTTGTAATTCAGTTTCACTGCTGCTGTCAAGCACCACAACAATGCAATCTTCAGAAGTGGGAGGTGTTAAGAATGCTGCAACATGGTCAGATGCGTCGATTAAAGGATAATTTGGAAGCTCTATTTTTGCTCTTGAAGGGGCAGAAAAAGAACAATGAACCCTGCCCAAAGAGAACCAACCATCCTTCATACGAGGCAAGGCACCTTGCACCGTCAAGTTCTGGAAGGTTGATGGAGTAGCATTTGTTCTGGTGGCTTTGATGAAGCTGAAGACTCTGGCGGCGAGGCTTACGGAGGTTGAGGCGGAGATTGGGATGTGGGATGGGCGGAGGAAGGAGATGGAGGGATGGGCAGCGGTGATGCGGCGGATATAGGCTTCGATGGTGGGGTGGTCGAGGAGGCCCCTGATGAGGATGATGGTGATGTTGAAACGGTGAGTTTGGATGAGCTTGGCCAGTTCAACCATGGCTACAATGTGGCCTATGCCTGGTGCTGGATACATTACAATTGTGTCCTTTTCCACCTCCCCTTTCTTCGTCGCCACCTCCCAAAACAATCTTCTCCCACGCCAATCTTACGCTCTTCCATCACCGTTATTCGTTTGCAATTTTGGACCAGAGGAGCAGAAGAAAATACTCTAAAACATTAATTGCACGTCAGAGGAACATAAGAGCAGAAGACCAAAAGAACAGGAAGGAAAAGTGAGAAAGAAGAACAGAAAAAGTGCAGAAAATGCAAAAGGAGAGAAGAAAAAGTGCACTGAACTCACTCTATTTATATCAATTTAACGGAACTGATGTAATTGATATAATTTATATGAATAAAATATAAGATTTTTAAAAACGGATACTAAACAAAAATTCATTTCTTAACATGAAACAAGATAAACATTTGAACTTAAAGCATATTATCATATAGTATATTTAATCAAAAACATATCGAATAATATAATCCTACGTCATTTCAATAAGAACAAATAAATATTAGATACATGAAAGCTAATAAAATTAAACATTTCGATCAAAACATAATTAAACAGAAAACTTAGACATTAACAAGATTAACAAAATTTAAAAAGCTTAAAAAAAGTAATCACTTATTAATAACATGGACTTAACCAATTAAAAACTCACAAATATATTATAAATAACATTTTTTACAAGGTAATTACTATGCACGTACACACACTCACCCCACAAACACACATATGGGTATTATTCTTATAGTGGTTAGTTTTGAATTTTTTTTTTCTTTCGCTAAATCTTTTTCCCTCTCTTTTCTAATTGTTTGGCTTATTTTCATCTAAAAAATTCATTGGCATCTCTAAGCTACTTTTCCTCTTACCATAATTTTAATTACAAATTTTTTGTTTTATATATATAGCTATGTTCACGTGGCGTTTATCATTTTAATTGAATCAAATACCATTTAGGTATCAGATTTGATTATTTCTACTCCTTTTAGTACTTTTATTTATAATCTTTTTAATAAAGAAATGTTTGACTCTCTTCATTTCAAGTATATTTAATCACATAAATTCTTTATTTATTAGATAATTTAAAAAAACTTATTTTTATTCTCTCTGGATAATTAATTTTTGTTTAATTTTTAGAATTTTTTATTTTTCCCTAACAATTTTCATTATCTCTCAACAATTCAATAAGTTTAATATCTAAAAAATTTACTCACATCTCCAAGATACTTTTCATTTTATCACATCCTATTAATTGTACATTTTATTTCTTTATTCAATTATTGTTTATAGGGTATCAAATAGTTTTAAGATAACACGTTTGATTATTTATACTTTTTTTTCATATTTTTATTTGTTATTGTTTATCATATAGAATATTGTTTTAGTGATTTTTTATAAAATTATTTTTATTTTTTAACACATTCTAATCAATGTAATTTTACAATCCAAATTATGTAAAACCTTTCATTTACTATAATGTAATAATTTATTTTCATTATGAAGTTAAAAAGATGAAACATCTTAAAATATAACATTTTATATATCTTTTTACGTTTAATTTTTAAGTCTTTATGATTAACTAGTTAATTCTTATCTAATCAATATTAATTAAGATAATAAAGAATATCTTTAATTTTAAATCGTTTACTTTTATATAGAAGCGTAATTTAATTAAATATTATATTTATTATTTAAGAAATAATAAATATTTTAATGTTATTTTTAATTAAATCATTCACACATAAAATACCAATTTTACTTAAATAATTATAATTTATTTTAAAAATATAATTTAGTTTTCATATATTCATTTTGATATTATAGCTTCAATGAAGTTAAAATATTTTATTTTTTAACTTATCATAAAGGAGATTTTATTTCTAAATACAAAAATATGTTTTTATATTTAAAATTTTTAACTATAATATATTAAAAAATATTATTGGGAATCATTCACTAGATGTTCAAGTCTTAATAGAGGTGTGTGTTCTAGATAGGTTAGGTTAGGGTGTTTCTTAGCATATGTAAAGCTAAGAATAACCCCTTAAACCAACCTTAATCAAATAATTAGCTCTTAATCAAATAATTAGAGAAAATTGTAAAACATAACCATTTAATTTAATTGATATAACAATAACTAATTAGCTCTAATTGATTTAGTCTTTACATAATGAATTAATCTAACAAACCGATTAAAAATATAATTTATGCATTTAATCGATTAAATACTTAACATAATCAATTAATATATGTTTTTTTAGTTTGTGGAATTTGTAAAGAACATTTTAATCTATTAAAACTTTATATTAATCTATTCATCTTTGCAGTTACACTATTTTCTTTAAATATTGTATTTTCTCTCTCTCTTAAAAATAACATTTTCATAATTTAAGATCTAGACAACAAGAGTGAGAGAGTTTTGAACGTCTTAATACTACTAAAATCAATTTTGAGCAACAAAAGCAAAGGTTAAGGGGGTTTTCTCTTTTGTTATAGGTTTTTTTATTATGAAATCAGTATTCAAATTATATTTGTCTTGTTTCTCTGTTTTGTAATTTCATTCTTTGTATTGAAATTCACTTTTATAGTGATTTTATGAAGCATCACCTGTTCTTTATATTTCTTGAATGAGTTCTTCAAGTGTTTGGTTGAATTTACAGTTTAGGTAATGTAGCAGATCTTATAATTTAAGTACTAAATTTTTAGTGAAATTTAAAGCTCAGGTGGTTGAAAAAACTAAATATTTAATTGTTAAAGTCGAATTAATATAAATATTTAAGTGTATTGTGTTTTTCTTACTTTTAATTTCTCTCTTTGTGATTGGTTAAGTTATTAGTAATGCATCTCACTCCAAACTTTTCAAATGATTCACAAAAGACTTCATAAAATGTGTTTGAAACATCGAAAATTTTAAATTTTGCCTAAAACCAATTCAAACCTGTGTCCCGCTCCCCCTTTTTTGGTTTGAATATTAGCTTGGTTCCTCTTTTAATATAATTATATATCTAATTCTTATCATTAGATTGTTAAGTATGTTTAGCTTGATTTTAAATCTTAAATATCTCTATTTCCACTCTATACCTAAAGTCCTTTTAGCAAGATTTAATATCTTAAAGGATTTTAAGCTCTCATTCATGCCTAGAGTATTTATAGCTTGACTCCACACTTTTAGTTTAATTTCATGTCTAAAACGTCCATAGTTTTATTCTATGCCTAAAACATTTATAATTTTATTCTATGCCTAAAACATTTCTAGCTTGGATTCACATTAAGAACATCTTTAATTTGATTTCACGTCTTAAACACTTATTATTCCATAAATTTAAGATCTTTAACTTTATTTAGTACTTAAAACATCTCTAATTCGACCTATATATTAAGAGATTATTTACAAAATCAATGTTAATTCTAACAAATTAGTTATATGATATAATATAATACAATCATTTAAAAATGAGTCATAAGTAATTAAAAATAAATTATATGATACAACCACTGAAAGATAATTAATTAAGACTTGAAAACAACTGCTCAAAAAAGAGTAAAATAACTTTTAAATTATAGACTATTAGTTTATCAAATATGTAAGTGGAAAAAATATGTCTAACAAAAACTTCAAATTAATGATTCTCAATTTCATGACTATAAATCAAGTTTTTTACTTATTTATATTTCAAATTATGTTTAAAGAAAAAACAAAAAATTATAAAGCCTTCCAAAAACTATTTACCTATATGCTTATTTTACTAAAATTTCAAACTGCAAACTTGTGTATCTATCCTCAAAGAAATTGAATTGAACTTGAAGATTATCATATCAATTATCCAGAGGTACTTTGTTTAAGAGCAATAAATTTTTATACGATATTACCAGCCTGCAAGAGAAAATTTTCAACGAAAAACTTGAAAACTAAAACGCTTCCACAATCAATTTTAATTTAATCTCAACAAAAATCAAACACAACAGAATTCTTCCACAACCTAATTATGTCATCCATCCATGCCTTAACTACAATGGCAAACAAAGACTTGATTCAATAATAGCACAGCCAGAAACACTTCAAATTCTAGCTGTAGGGTTCAAGAAAAGTTAAAAACCAGGAAGGGCTATATCAATACTTTTACTTTAGCGCTGGTTAGGTAACAAGAAAACACAAATACAGAACGAATTTCCCTTCAAAACGTCCAATCCATTATTACTCAAATTAATAATTTTGAACTACAACTCAAAGCTAAACAAGATCAATTCTTGAAACACTAAGCAATATCGACAATGAAATTGAAATTGTAAGAAACCCTAATTTCCGAGGCATTGTACAAATCCCCAATTCTCTAACCACCGAAACCGTAGAGGGTTCTGCCCTGCCTCTTGAGAGCGTAGACAACATCCATGGCGGTGACGGTCTTGCGGCGAGCGTGCTCGGTGTACGTGACAGCGTCGCGGATAACGTTCTCGAGAAAGATCTTGAGAACACCACGAGTTTCTTCGTAGATAAGACCACTGATACGTTTAACGCCACCACGTCTAGCGAGACGACGAATCGCGGGCTTAGTGATTCCCTGAATGTTATCCCTCAAAACCTTACGGTGTCGCTTGGCACCTCCCTTTCCGAGCCCCTTGCCACCCTTTCCTCTTCCAGACATGGCTGACGATTTTTCCTTTTTCTATGATACAGAACTGAATATGCAAGCAAACAACTTGGCGGGTTAGTGCGAGAATCCAGATATTTGTATAGACACGGGAAAAGATCTTTGGCTGTTGGATTCATCAGCGATCCGTGTGAATAACTATTTGGCCGTTGGATTCATTAGCGATCCACGTGAATAACTATTTAAAGATAATTAATAACTCAGGAAAATAATGGATTAAATATGTTTTTGATTTCTAAACTATTAAGCGAATTTAGTAATAAATTTTTTTCAGCTCCTCTTCTTCCTCTTCCTTCGACTCTAACCTCCAACACCACCTCTGACGCCACCTTCAACGCCAGTTCCGCCGTGATCGCAAGTCGCTCCTTCCTTCCCATGCCCGTCCCCTGGAATCGGATGTTGAAGTCCTTCGCCTCCCATAAGATAACAGTATGTTGTGACTCTGGCAATGTTTCATTGCTTTCCTACTTTTCTTTACAAAGCTTCATTGCATTAGGATTATACTAAAGTGTGTAGGAATGAACATATTTTATATTTTGTTTCTAACATCTTCTATATAAGTAACTGTGTGATGAGGAAATAATATTTAGCACGCTAATAGGCAGAGTAAATTCTCTGTGAACAAAAGTAATCTCAATGCTATAATCATGCAGAAAGATGTTCTAAAAGTTTGATGGTTTATTTATAAACCCGGCATAGTACCCAAATGGGACTAAAATCCTAAAACTATATATTTGGGTCCATTGGTTTTTTTGTTATAATTTGGAAATAGTTGCTGGTGTAGTCCTATTATTTGCATTTATTTAAGCAATAATTTAAGTATGCAGACTCATGAATTTTTTTTTATGGAACATTGATTGTGCAGTTGACGGGAAGCATTAACACTAGTACAAAAATCGCCTACACGTCGAATATTTTGGACTTTTAACGGAGAATTCGCAAGACGTTAAATTGACATCGAATTTTTTAAAAAATTCGATGTTAAATTAACGTCCTTGGTAAATATTCGATGCTAATCAATTTTTTTTATTTTTTTTAATTAATTGTGATCCTTTTTAACAACTCTTATGAGATCTGAAAAGCAGAAAAACAACAAATTTCAAGTTTATAAAGCATGAACTTTGATCAATAACAAACAACAATAACCAATAACAAACAAGTTCAATTAAACAAGAACAAACAAGTTCAACCAAACAACAACGACAAAGAAGCTCAACCAAACAACAACCATAAACAAGTTCCAAAAAAAAACAACAAACAAGTTCAATAAATAAGTTCTTCAAAACGAAAACAAAAACTAACCTTCAAAAGGTGGGTTCATCGGAATAAAGTGTCGTCACCCGTGAGAGAGAAAACAGAATGCATCTGTGAAGAACAAGAACACGAAAATAATCGGTTAAAACAAACGAAAATCATACATAAAGTAGTTAATTGACATGCATTTGTATCAAATGAAAGAAAGATTACCTGTGATGGTCGTCAATTTTTGTTCAAGAAAAGTTTGAGAAGAGCAGAGGGTCTGGCGCGCTAAGATAAAGTGAATGAATTTTCAATTTCCCGCTCAAATTTTTATTGAATTCACCAACCTTTTAACATCTAACGCTAGGACATTCGACGTTGTATATCCTTTTACGTCGAATTACAATTATAAACGACGTTTAATAATTCCATTTATTTGCAAAAATGTCACCGGTCATTTTTAACGTTGGCTATTTAGTGGTTCGACGTTAAACGTGTGACGTTATACGTTGTTTTTGCACTTGTGTAAGCCTGCATATGTAGCTCAGATCTTGTTTGGCTCGACCATTCAGGAGATGAAAATGGTTCCGTTCAAGATTGTTAAGGCTCCAAATGGTGATGTGTGGGTTGAGGCTAATGGACAACAGTATTCTCCTACCCAAATTGGTGCTTTTGTTCTCACCAATATGAAGGAAACAACAGAAGCTTATCTTGGAAAGTCAGTTACGAATTACTGTACCGGCTTATTTCAATGAAGCTCAAAGGCAGGCAACAAAAGATGTTGGTAGAATTGCAGGTCTTGATGTAAAGAGAATTATCAATGAACCCACTGCTGTTGCACTTTCATACGGAATGAACAACAAGGAGGGTCTCATTGTTGTTTTTAACCTTGAAGGTGGAACATTTGATGTATTCATCTTAGAAATTTCGAATGACGTGTTTGAGGTATGCTGATTTGTCTCTTCTACGTCTTTCATTCCTTCTTAACCTGTCAAAATTAATAATAGGACGAGATTGTACTGACATCATCTTCGTATTAAGGTGAAAGCAACAAATGGTGATACTTTCTTGGGAGGAGAGGATTTTGACAATGCCTTGTTAGATTTTCTGGTGAACGAATTTAAAAGAACCGAGAGTATTGACCTTTCAAAGGACTGACTTGCACTGCAGAGGCTTCGTGAAGCTGCTGAGAAAGCCAAGATAGAGTTGTCTTCAACATCTCAAACTGAGATCAACCTGCCTTTCATTATTGTTGATGCTTCTGGTGCTAAGCATCTGAACATAACATTGACTAGATCTAAGTTTGAAGCCTTGGTAAATAACTTGATCGAAAGGACCAAGGACGACAATGGGAAGAAAGGGGTGGCTCACGATCACGCAAAAATGTTTGAGGTGGCGCCGCAGGTAGCGTCGGAGGTGGTTGTGGTAAAGTCGGAGGGAGAGGGAGGGGAAGTGGGAAAGTGTGACTAGTGTCAACAAAAAAAAATGACGTGCCACACCAGCGTTAGCCACCTCAGTTTATTTTTAACGTCCTTGATTGTTGAAGACAAAAAATTATTATTTCTTTAAGGAGAAGGTCCAAAATGTAGTTTAGTTTGAAAGAGAGACTAAAAACAAATTCGCTTGATAGTTTAGGGACTAAAAACATATTTAACCCGAAAATAAATTATATTATACAACTACTTAAAAATAAGAAACAATCATACAAAAATAGTTGTATCTATGTTACTTTTAAATTATACAGTATTAGTTTATAAAATATGTAATTGAAAAAAATAAAGTTAATACTAATGATGATAAATTATAATTAGTTTATATTCTAAAATTTGATATTTTTTGTATTTTAAATTTAAAAAACGTATAAATATAATATTTTTAATATAATAATATTATTATTATTTTGACTTATTAAATTATGTTTTAAGTTGACATTTCATACATGTATGAAACTAGTGTAAACAATTCATCTAAAACATTCTATACATAAACAATTTAAAACAATTAGATTATGAAAAAACATTTTTAAAGTTTTGAAATAAAAATTCAAAATAAATAAATTTTAATTTTATCTTCCAAGTTTAAAACTAAAAACATATTTAAAAAAATATTTAACCCAAACGTAATATTTATAAGCCTCAAACTTCATTTCTACTTATTTATATTTCAAATTATTTTTAAACTAAAAATAAAGAAGTATGAATCTCAAATTATTCACCCACCTACCTTATATGCCTATTTCACTCAAATTTCAAATTGAAAACTTGTGTACCTATCTTCAAAGAAATTGAATTTAACTTGAAGATTAGCATATGAATTGTCAACTATAAAAAGATGAAGTTAATTATGATAATATCAATTGTTAATTATATATAAAAAAAACGAAGTTAACTCCGATTATATCAACTAGTACAACTTCATCAATAAAAAATTATTTTATGATTGTTTATATTTATTGTCCTCCTAGAAAGGATTGATATAACTTAGGTTAGCATCTTTAGTGTGTTTGATATCAGCCAAACTCACTGTTCCATAATATTTTAATTATCATTAAAACTTCATTTAGAGGTGAACAATCTTTTGTAATTCAATCATATATTTAAAATGTTCTTTCTTCAGTAAAATTTAAAACTTCACCTATAAAACTCAGATTTCCTCTGATTGTGTAATCCACCAAAAGGGGTCATGCAAGCACTTGAAATAATGTCAATCATAAAATTACAATTTCTTTCGTGAACGGAGTTGACGAAAATTTCTTGCTAGTAATAAAAGATTATACGTGTTACTAATACTCCTTCAGCCTGAAAGAAAGAATAAGTTGCGTGGTGTCAATAGTTTCCCCTCTGAAAACAACCATATCCTCAAGGTTGTAATAGTACCAGCAACTTTAACTGAGCACCAATTCATGACTGCAGGAAGACTTTGGTCTCAACCGAAACAAACTTTCATTAAACAGGTTGATACAAAGTGTTAAAAATAATTATTTTCCTAGTTCATCTAATATGTAAGTTGCTTAAATTATTTGGACTTGATATACAGCTTTATGAATGGACCTTGTGTTTCAAAATGATTAGTATATTTGTTTAAGAAATTAAAAATAATTTCGTTTAAATAATAAAAAGTCTTTATTATAATTTACATATAAATTATTTAATATAAAAACAAAAATTAGTTTATTTATATTTTATCATTTAAATTTTTGGTTCTAAACTCAAGGCACATAAAATTTTTAGTTATCTTCTCGATGGAGCTTAGGCTGTACCATCACATCTTTCGCCTTTGTTGCGGGTATCTGCATTTTGTAACGGGTGACATGATTCATTTGAATGAATACATATAATCTCTAGAGTTGTGAAAAGGGCTACTGCGACCTGACGATTTAAAAAGAAAAAATAGAAATGGCAACCCAACCCAATTGTAACCAAGAAACAACTATGGAGAAATTGCAGCCATAAATTCAACTGTTTGTACCGAAAACCAAACGTCATAGTAATGTAATTCTGTTCAGTATTAAAGACGATAAAAAAACAAAAAGTACTTCAGAAACCTTTAAAATACAATGGAGACGTCTGTTCGAACAATAAAATGAGCATAGACATCCATAGATACATTATTAAAGAGCCGCAAATTTGATTGCAATTTCAGCACCTAACAAGATAGAACATTCAACGCAAAAATTCAAAGACCAAAATGCTTTCTACAATCAATCTTAAAATAACCCAAAAAATAAAACATAAAGGAATCCAGCCGATTATGACATTCATAACTTAACTACAGCGAAAAACCCGAAAACTAATTCAATGATTAAAAAGCCGGAAACACTTCAAATCCTAGATGCAGTATTCAAGAAACAAGGAATAGATACACTAATGCATTTAATTTGTAATTTAGCACAGGCTGGGTAACAAGAAAATAAAAATGCACAATGAATTTCCCTTGAAAAAGTCCAATACATTCTGATTCACATTAATAATTGTCAGGGCTACAACTCAAAGCCAAACAAGAACAATTCTTGAAACACTAAGCAATATCAACAGGGAAATTAACATTATAAGAAACCCTAATTTCCAAAACATTGTAGAAATCCCCAATTCTCTAACCACCGAAACCGTAAAGAGTCCTGCCCTGCCTCTTGAGAGCGTAGACAACATCCATGGCAGTGACAGTCTTGCGGCGAGCATGCTCGGTGTAGGTGACAGCGTCTCGGATCACGTTCTCGAGAAAGATCTTGAGAACACCACGAGTTTCTTCGTAGATGAGACCACTGATACGTTTAACGCCACCACGTCTAGCGAGGCGGCGAATCGCGGGCTTGGTGATTCCCTGAATGTTATCCCTCAGAACCTTACGATGTCGCTTGGCACCTCCCTTTCCGAGCCCCTTGCCACCCTTTCCTCTTCCAGACATGGCTGACGGTTTTCCCTTTTTCTCTGATGCAGAACTGAATATGCAAGCAAACAACTTGGCGGGTTAGTGGGAGAATCAAGAGGTTTATATAGATACGGGAAAAGATCTTTGGCCGTTGGATTAGTTAGCGATCCGTGTGTATAGATAATCAGACCGTTGGATTCAAATGTTTGATTTTGATTGGCGGAAAGCGTGTGACGCGGATAGTGAGGTTTGAAATGTGTATTTCTTTCGTTTGTGTCTGTGAGAAAACACATCTTTTTTGCGCGAGTGGCAAGTGAATCCAACGGTGAGCGCAATTTAATTATGAAATTTTGAATGAAAATCTAATGCGCTCCATGTGAAAACGTAATCACATTTTGGATAATTTCAGATTTGGCTTTGCAACGCGGGAAAATGTAATCGTGATTTCTGACACTGACCTCCCCAATCATAAAAAATAAAAATATTTCACTTGTCAATTCCTCGTAAGCAGAAAATTAAGAATATAAATTCCTTCAAAATTATGCAATCGAACAAGTCACACACGGCAACTAAATTGATAATGGAGCATTACTTTATTTTCATTTTTACTTAAACAAACTATAAATTTTTTTATTATGATTATATATTATGAAAAAGTTATAAATTATTAATTTATCATTATAACTATATGTCGTAAAAAGTAAAATATAATAATATCTTATGTTGAGGGAACAAATATTATTTTGTACATAAATTAGTAGGAATAAAACCAGAATGTATCATGATTCAAACAGCAACCACTTGAAATTTATGCTAAATATCCCTCTATATAGGCTAAACTAATTCTTCTATTATCAAATATTAAATTATGCTCAATCCTAATATTTATTCTATATATATATATATATATATATATATATATATATATATATATATATATATATATATATATCAAATATGGTCAACGAGTAATCTTTTTAATATGTGACGTAGCTAGGTGAATATATGAAGTTTTTTTATCAACAAAAGTAAATATATGTAAAAAATGAATAATTGATTATCCTAACTTACGAGTTTTTTAAAATATGATATTACATATGTAGTAGATTAATTAAGTAGGTATACTCAATGTTCAAATAAAAAATATTGAGATATACTTACAAGGCTTATGAAATACTTAAGAGTTTTAATGGATTATGTTGTTGAATATAGTAAATTTTTCAGTGTACTAAAAGGATACAGTGATGTTAGTTGAATCTATGGTTTATATGAAACAAAATTCACTATTGGTTATGTATTTACACTTGGGATGGTGTTATGAGATCGACAATGGAATCTGAATTTTTGCTCTTGAGATGACTGGTAGTGAGGCTGGGTGGTTGAAGAATTACAATAGAAAAAATAAACATATAGAGTTGAGACATGATTTAGTGAAACAACGGCTAAAAAGTGAAACTATTTTTATTGATTATGTGAAATCATAGAGGAATTTAGCGGATCTTTTGACTAAACCATTGCAAATAAATATAACTTTAATCAATTATGTTTATTATTATGATATGTGTAAAAGTGGTAGAGACTATAATATTGAGAGGTTAAACTTTGTAATTAAAATTTTATGTGGCGAAAGAATTTTAATTTAAACAAAGGTTTTAATGATCTTCATATCCTTTAAAGTGTTATATGATTTGCAACATACACTTGATGAAATCATCTGTATGAATGTCAAGTGAGATCACTTGCAGATATTTGCAAGATCTCTATAGCGCTTAGGAATATCGGACACGTTCATGGCCTAGTAAACGCAACACAACGATAACAACAAATATTATAAGAGTGTATTGTGATCAATAAACCTTTAATACATGTTCAGTGTCATTGATTCATATAGCTTTCTATATTAACTACACCGTATGTTAAGTTTATCAATACATGACTAATTCATATATCTTGTTACATCAACTCTAATGCATCACATCTTGCGAAACTTAAGATATTTATTATTTATCTTTTTCATTTTTTTATCTTTTACAGTGTATGGGAATGTTATAAAAACCTGTATTGCAAAATCTGTTTTCAAAAGCATTAGAAGAACGTTGCTTAATAAGCGTCTATTTTCCTTGGTTAAATCCTCTTCGCAAGGCTCAAGAGTGGGATTACTTTTGTTGAAACCGTAAGGTGCAGTTTCTTTTGCAAGTTCTGGACCATGGTCATTCCTCATCTCTTTTCAACTAACTATATAAATAGTGCATTTGTGATCATTTTAAAACACATTTTCTATCATTCTCTTATCCTCTTATTTTCTTCTTTATTTATTTTATTTTTTCTTTTATGTTATTATGGATTTATTACTTTACTCTTTTTAGAGTTTTTCATTTGTTTTTGGTATCTTATATATTTTTAAGTAGTTTCTATTATACTATAGTCTGAGGACAATAAATCTATATGTCTTAAAAAAAATTGTTTGTAATTACTATCAGCATTATACAATAGGTTATAGGTATAACCAATATAAAAAATTTTATATTTTATTATTATTTAATCATTGCGAAAACTTTCCATATCAGTTTTAGGGATGTATCAGATGTAGAAAATGTTATATTTTATTACAATTTTGTCAATAATGTTATGATTTTTTTATATTAATTATAACTTTAACAGTTATAAAAAAATTTAAAATATTTACAATTACGTGACCATATCACTTTTTATTTTGACGTAGATTATAACTAGTATAAAAAATGGTTATAATTTTTTTTTACAACATGGCATATTTGAGCCTAAAAAAAGAGATAAAATAGGATGAATATTTTAGTCTACTAGTTTTGCATCTCTCGCATAATCTATACAAGCTAAAGAGTGGAAAAACTCATCCCAACACGAAGACCACACTAACTTTTTACTTTGTTGTTCTATATGATTATTTTTGTATTAAATATGATGAATATTTTCATTCACTATTTTATGAATATCGTATTTGTATGTCACCTTGTTGAAATTTTACCACATTACGTAAATAATAAATTCATATTTAAGTTTGATGATTTGACTGCACTATAATTAATTACCAACTATTTTGACAGCAAAAAAACAATGAACAATGCTAAAATCATCCACAAATTTTAAATGTAAATCAATACCCAATTTAAAGTGACTTAAAAACTTTTAAAATAAACATAAGATATTTAAATGATAAGCTGTAGGCCAAATATTATTGTCTTATATTCAATTAAGTCTACATAATTTTATTAAATTCAATCTCAATTTGTTTTTAAATAAAATAATATTTTCACTCTGAATCAAATTTATTTTTAATATAATGTTATATTAATGTTTTTATTAAAATCCAAATTTTTATTAAATATTTTTTTAATTATTTTTTAGCTAACTCTAACTGTATTATTGAATTCCATAAAATCAAATTACTTTTAAACAACTTTTTATTAATTAAAAATTGAGATTTTAGAAAAAAAAAATAGCTAAATACATATTTTCAAAATTTTGTGGAAATTTTTAAAAAATTTAAGTTCAAGAACTAAGGTTTGTGTTAGTATACATAGATTTAGTATTGACAATAATTGACGACGATAAATATGCGGGTGAATTTGACCTTCGTATCTAAGAATTTGCAAGTGAAGAAGAACATTGATTTGTAAGAAAAGTTCGTGATACCATCTTGACAATTTAAAGGGTATGTGTGGGTGACTAAGGGTGTTTTACAGTATTATCCTTGTGTGAAGGTCAGTTGTGTGAGTAAAGATAAAGAAGAAAAGGAAATAGGACTCGAATCAATTTCAAAATGATAAGAATTGATTTCACTAAGAAATTTTTTAAGGATAAGGGGATATGAAATTGATTCTAAAAAGATAGGAAACCGATTATAGTGAGAGAATATTTGTTTTTTATTATTTTTATTATTAATAGATTTTTCTTTTGTTTTTAATAATGATAATAATAAATAATAATAATAATGTTAATAAATAATAATATTAATTATTATTAAATAATAGACAAAATGGTAATATTTTTTTATCTATGAAAACTTTTTTAATCTATCACACAAGCTAAATCATTCAAAAACTTTTCCAAATTTTTTATTTTCTAATGCATTAAATTTCACATCCAAATCTCTTAAAATAGAAAATAGCACAAATTTTACTTTCAAATCCACCTAAATTGATTCACTTCCTCTCTCTCAAATTCATATTTATAATGCTACACACAATGTCATATGACACAATACTAATTTGCCATATGATTTAAAAAAAATAAAAATAAAACTAAAAAAAAACTACTAATAACATTTATTTCACGCAATTTGAATAATATTATAAAAATACATCATTACAAAATTTAATTGAGAAAAGTAAATATTTACTTATATTTCAACTAAAATTTGAATAAAACTACTAATTTAATCTAATATTTTTTATATATTGAACTTAGTCTTGTATTATGAGACTATTGGTGTTTTTGTCTCGACAAAATTGAGGATCATAATTTGTCTTGCTTTCTTATTTGGAAGCCATTATTACATTCACAATATCAAAATAATAATGGTAGCATGACACACTTTTACATTCGTGTCACATATATTATAAAGGTAAAATATTTATAAAAGAGTGTTTTTTTATTTAAAAAGTAAAGAAAATAAAATAAAAAATATTAAATACATACAAAAAAAAATTTATATGTCAAAATATCATTTCTCATATAAAAAAAAAAAGTAAGTTTGAATTCAAGGTAACGATTTAATAACTACAATCATTAGAGTTTCCTAAATACTTTTTGGATAAGGATAGGTTGACACACCTACACTCATTTACCATAATTTTTATAATAGAAAAGTGACACTCATTCAACATAAATTTTATAATAGAAAAGTGGGAAACATGAGTGTAGAAGTGTGTTAAAAGTATACTTTTTCGTACTATTTTTTTCCTCATGTAATCTATTTGCTCATTTCCAAATTAATGCCAAAATTTGTTAAATTTTAGAGTCCCAGACAAAACAACCATATTTATTGTGCGATCTAAATAAGGATAAACAAAGAGAAGACGACTTGATAAAACTAATTAACTCACAATTTTTTAGTATAACTTTTTGTTAAATAATTAATAATGAAAAATATCAATATTTTTCCTTCCCGTGTTTCTTCTTTTTCAGTTTGCTACACGTTTATTCCCATATTTATACTAATCAAGGCAGCAACATGATCTGCTAAATGCGTTTATGCTATACAGTGCAATTATAGTCCATTTGCTTTTATATCTGGGAAGTTGTTAAATGTTTTGGTATGTCTCGCTTTTTGCACAAGGAGTTTTTCCTACGTTGGTATATTTTTTGGGGGGCCTTCGACACAGTTTTTGAACCTATGATAGAAACGTTTCCTGCTACACTCACCGTTAATATTTAATAAATAATAATAATTTAGTTTTGCGTATCATAAACAAAAATAAAGATTTCTTAGTAAATTTTCCATTTTTTTGTTTGTACTATGCCATAAAAGAAATCCAAAATAAAAATCGGTCATGTGATTTACGCAAATGCTATTTATACAACATCACTTTACATATCAAACGAAGTCTAAGACAAAAAGAATAATATTTCAAAGTTTCAATTCTCTTAGTTTTAAAATATTAAAAAATCATATACAAAAATTGAATCACGAAACAAAATTTAGTGGTTAAAGACCGAGACAAATTATCATGTAAGCAAACAATTCAACAACTAAAAGGGACTAAGGGAGTGTTCACTTTGGGGAGAGGAATTGGGAAAGAGTGAGTGGATAAATTTGAGGATGAATTAATTGTTGTTTGTTTGAGTGAATTTGAAAGTAAAGTTTATGAGAATTAGTGTAAGATTTGATTGATATGACAGATAAAAAAAATTGTTTAATGGGTAGAAATTGAAGATTACCAAAATGCCTCTAGTTATTATTGTGATATAAAATGATAATTGTTAATGTTATATTTAATTATAAAAATGTTTATAAAGAATAAAATATAACGTGAATTATTATTATTATTATTAGAAGTAAAATATACACAAGAAAAAATATACAACAGATGAAAGTAAAAGAGAAATAAAGTAAAAAGTTGTTTTTGAATAATAGAAATAAGAAGATGAAGAAAAGTTGGAGCTACTGCATGGATAAACATCAACACATGGGGAAAGCATGGAGAGATGTGCAGGCTCATGGAATTGGATAAATCACCATGGGAATCGAATAAAGGGTGTAGTGGAATCGAATAAACGGTGGAAGGAACCAAATAAAGTTTGCGGGAACTGAATACACATATCAGTTGTATTTGTTCTTTCTATTGGAACCCAATACTCAAAAGTGGGAACCGAATACAACACCATCAGAACCAAATACAACTTTTCTTCAACTCCTTCTTCAAGCTCTGTTATTCACCTTCTTCATCTTCAACGACTCTTCATCTTTAATACAATAGCCATAAACCTTGAATCACTATAGACCAAACCTCCATTATTGGTAATCATTTTCACCATCTGGAATCGAATTAATTGCATTTTTACGTGATATTTTACGCTTGCATTTTTATGTGATATTTTACAAATAATGGAGGACAAAGTTGAGATTTCAATCAACATTACTGCAAATCCGAGCGTATTAGCGGGGTGATAAAAAGGTGCATATCCTGCAAATCCGTGCAATTCCATCACTTTGTATCCACTGAAACAAACACGAATTCACTCGCAAATCAATCGTCACATTTGCTCTTGAACAACGTTATCCACTGAAGTGAACACAACTAAAAGTTAGTTCATTTAAAAAATTCGAAAACTAAGAAAAAAAATGGAAGACAAAAAAGTTACAAATTCAAAAGAGTATAATATATTTAAGTTTAATTTATATATTGAAATATATTCATGTGCCACAATTTTTAAATACGTAAATAAATATACAACTTATACAATATATTCAAATACCAGAAGTATTGTAGTAAAATTTAAATATAATTTTTTTTAAATGTAGGCTCTCTTATGTATTATGATTTTTGGTCAATCATATATTTAGTCAATATATATTCTGCATAATATTTGGTGACATAATAAACTCAATTAACTTGATTAAGATATACTGTTAATAACTCTCACACCATATTAAAATATTAAAATTTAATCTTACACCTCATCATCCACTTATATAATATAATATATTAATTTGAAACCGATAAAAAGTACAACACTGGTACTGATAAAGTTGGAAGGTTTGATATAATTAAATATGAAAGATATTGATATGTTGCTGTGAAGAATTGAACTGGTTATCATCTCCTCCTAAAAAAGAGATATGCACAAAAGAATCATACTCCCATTTTCTGTTATCTGTTGTGTGCCTGCAGCAAATTTGAAGTACTCAACCAAAGTTGGGATGGAGGACTTATCAGCAAACATAATAAAAAGGTTTTGCCTATTATAAGCAAAACTGGCTTGAGGTGAAAAGCCCTTAAGTGGTGTCCTATAATAAATTTGACAGGTGATAAGTGGGCCATGGATGACTTTGTAAATTTTTTAAACCATGTGTGACTTTGATAGGCTGTTACTCTTATTGATATGATATACAATTGTTAGATAAAAAGTGTAAAAGTGAATAAAAAATATTTTTTCATACACTTAAATTTTTTATATTTAATTTCGTATTATTTTTACTTATTTTTTATTTTACTTTTTTTTTTATATTTTTAGACTATTTTATCTTTGAATATATTATATACCGTTTCTTAAAATTAAAAATAATAATATTTTGATAACATTTTAATAAAATTATTACACAATTAATAATAATAATCAAAATCTTAACAGAGTATCAGTGTTATTAAAATATTGTAAAAAATGTCGTTAAAGTATCTTGTACAGAGTTAGACGTGATAACAAAAAAGTCTTGTAGTTGAGTGCAAAGGTGAAGTGAAGATAAGGACTGTACGATGACATGACTCAGTGCATGATAAGGGGTTTTTAGCATCTCAAAACAATGGCAGCACGTGACAGAAGAACACAGTAAGATTCACAGAAATCATTGCAAAGTTTCCTGTGCTTTCAGAAAAAAAGACAATGCATGCATGAGTGTGTGAACAGAATCGTTGTTCACGGGAGTAATTATGTCGCCACCTCATGCTCTTGATTTCTGATCCACTGACATCTCACATGTTTCAAAATAACACGCCTCCTTAGCTCCAAACTATGCTGAATATTAATGATTGAATTACTTCTTATATAACTAACATCAGCTTCAACTATCCCATTATTAATTGCCAATAATAATGACTGGTTTACCTTCGTGTTTGTTTGATTTATTTAAGTGTTGTGGTGGCACATGATTATGTCTGTCCCACCGTAATTTTCTCTGTTTGCACTGTTCTACCCCCTCTTTGTAATTGTAACCACAAAAAGAGTGGCAGAGTGAGAGAGAGAAGTGATATAGACTTGATGGGTCCAGCGTAGTGGTGCAAATTCGGTATTAATAGATTCGGACCCTTCAAATATGCAGTTGTAGATTTGAAAGAAAAAGGACGGGTTGCACACTTGAATTCCTGCAGCTACCTCAAACCATGGCCAACCCTGATAAATTCCTCTCAATTACAAAGCCCATCACCCACGTCATTTTCGACATGGATGGTCTTTTGCTAGGTATTGCCATCTATCTTCAACAAATAATGCCATGCACACTTTGCTGGTTCTTTTTCAGACCACATGTCTATAACCATAATGGTCCTTTATTCATGATTATGGTACAATTTCTTTCTGCTGGGTCAAAATTGGAGTAACATTTGTGTCGTCAATTGGTTTTTGAAAGTCACTCACTTTTTTTTGTTTTTGTTTTAAGCAAAGTAGTAAATTTATATTTAGTGGGTGGAGTAATATTGTGCTGTATGAGTTGTTTGTGCACAGACACAGAGAAGTTCTGTAATGAAGTTCAGGAGATCATACTTGGTAGATACAACAAAAGCTTTGACTGGAACGTGAAAGTGAAGATGTTGGGGAAGAAAGCATTAGAGGCTGCAAGAATCTTTGTTGGTGAAACAGGAATTAGTGAATTTCTCAGTGCTGAGCAGTTCCTGATCGATAGGGAAGACATGCTGCAGGCTTTGTTTCCCAAAAGTGAGCTTATGCCAGGTACGTGGGTTGGACACCTTTACCTACTGAATTATCCTAAAATTAACCAAGCTCGTAGGTTGCTACAACTGCAGTGTTGTTGGAACAGGATCCCTCCATGAAGACAGGGAGAATCTATACCTCACGCTGTTAATTATTTTTTTAATATTTCGTAAGAGTAAAATTTAGTTTATGACTGAGATTCCTCTGGTTGAGAAAAAAACACGTGCGAGGATTGTAGACATGTGATGAGTGAGAGGGAGGAGCTTTGACCAGCACCACAAACTGAGTTTTTTTAGTCCTAGAAGAGGGTGACCAAAAAGAGGCACACCCCACTCATTTTTTTTAAATTCAACCTACAAAAATTCACTATTTTATCATTATTTTATTTTTATAATATGTATAAATGAATATAGAAATATTTCACTTTATGACCACTCTTATCTAATTTTGAAGGGAAATTTTGGGGGCAGAGAGGTTCGCCCTGCTCCTCAACTCAATGTATCACGTGCATAGGAATACTCTGCAATGGTCCAAAATTTGAAAATGAAACAAAAGCAAATTATATATTTGGTTTTGAAAAGCGATTCAACTAAATCCATATCTATGTTTTTATAAAGCTTTTATATCCTTCATCTGCATATTATTTATTTTTATATATTTATAGAATTATATCACAACTCTTCATCTTTTTAAAGAATATATATGATTAAATAGCGATATTTTTCCAGTGAATGCTTATTTGACTGTAACTATCAAATCCGAGATCAATTTTAAACACTGTATTTAAGGAAATTTACAACTATTAGATATATGATTTAATTGTGTGTGTGTTGTGCTGAAAAAAAAACTAGACATTGTACTTAAATTTTAAAGCAAAAGTACATGATAAAATGAGTAACATTAAGTCATCAAATGAAGTGATTTTTGGCTGAAAAAAATCCCAACATACCACCATGTTTATATATTGATGCCCCAGTGTGTCATCTTCATCTATCATAGGTGCTGGTCGTCTAATGAGGCATTTACATGCCAAAGGAATTCCAATTTGCTTAGCAACAAGGTACCCTTCAATCATCTTTTGTTTATAATATACTTATTTTGAAGGATTTATTCATGCAAAGTTGTTCTGACAATTTCTCTCACAGTTCTCACAAGCGACACTTTGAAGTAAAAACTCAAAGACATCGTGAACTGTTTTCTTTGTTGCATCATGTTGTTCTTGGCGATGACTTTGAAGTTAAGCATGGCAAGCCTTCCCCAGATATATTTCTTGAAGCAGCCAAGAGATTTGAGGTGATGAAAGTGGTGCCTTTTTGCTGAAAAATAAGAAATTGTTTTGCTTTGCTTCGTTGTTATGTAATGATTTTCATTTGTCAACAGGATGGACAGATAGATCCTTGTAACATTCTCGTTTTTGAAGATTCACCCTCGGGAGTTCTTGCAGCTAAGAGAGCAGGAATGTAAGAGAATTGAAGCATTGAACAATGTAGTTTCATGTTTAAACATTGATGAATTGTGAGATTAGAATATGATGTTGAATTGATAAATGTTTGGTGGTTAGGTCTGTTGTTATGGTCCCTGATCCAAGGCTGGATAAAGGTTTTCAGAAGTTACCTGATAAAGTTTTGAACTCACTGTTGGACTTCGACCCTGTGGAGTGGGGTTTGCCTCCTTTTTGAAGATACCAATGGGAGATGGATGAACTTGGAGTTCTGTTACTGTTTTGCTTCAGTCACAAAGTTTCATATAGTTTTTATAACTGCTTTTATGAGTTAATCATAATCTGTTCTTGTTGAATAATTGGACCCCGTTTGACTAGCCCTTGAACATTCTGTTCGGGAAAGAGGTTCAACCTTAGGTGGATCTCAAATGTTGCTGAGAAAAAAATAATAATTTTCAAAAACAGAGTTCAAATTCTTTCTCTTTCTTCAATTTTATTTTCTTCCTCAAGCTTTGAGTTGTTATTGGGGTGTATGCTCTTTATTTCTGTTTTATGATCTTGTGTTTGCTTTTTTTCTTCTTAATAATGTTCGAAAAAAAATTAATATTTTGATATAGTATTTATGTATTTATTTATTAGTTGGTTATTTATTTGTTATTAATAAAAGAGTAATTCCTACATTAGGTTAAAATATTGTTAAATTTTTTTTCTTAACATATGGTTGTTGTACTTGTACGTATCCAAATAACTAAATTAAAATCTATTTGGAATTCTCTTAATAATGGTATGTGACATTATTTTTTTCTCTTCCTTAAAATTTTTTTATAAAAAAATAATACTGTATTATATTAAAAATGTTGTAAAAAAATTTGTGTTACTATACCTTGGCCACATCTTAATAAGTAGATTAAAATTTATTTGGAATTCTCTTAATATTGGCACGTGACTTATTTAATTGGATATACAATCAAAGTGGGCCAAATAGTTCTATATAACATGAAAATTAGATTAACCAACAAAAACATAAATTCGTCCATACTTTGTTTGCACTAGAATGAATGATATAAGTAATGTTTTGTATGATTTAAAATATAAAAAAATAAAAAATATAACATTTTAATATTGAGCATAAGTCTATTTTTTCCTTCTAGACACAATTGATTATGATTTTTAAAAAAATATGTATATATATGTTAGTTTTTTTTAATTGGTTATTTTTTTACCTTTTCCAAATTTTATTAGGATTTTTTTTAATCTTTCAAGGCATGCATGTATTAAAAGGGAAAAAAAGAAGTCATTTCAAAAAGTAAAATATATTTTAAAAATGATTTTATTTTACTTTTTTAAAAAGGTTATGTCTCACATAAAAGTCGTTTTATTTTTATTTTTTTAATTTAGTCTGTTTTAAAATTCATTTCAATTTTTTGAAAATAAAAGTGTTTTCAAACACACTTTATATTATATTTTATAAAATTAAAAGAAAATCAGTGTTTTAAAATGTATTTTTTATTAGCAATCATATTTTAAAACAATTATTTTTTTAAAGCACCTTACACGGATTTTTTTTTTGTTAACTTTATCTATTTCAGCAATAAAAAAAAAAGTACTCTGAAAGCAAAAAGTTCCTGAAAAACTAAACTCTGAATAAATAGCTGGTCAGAATTTGATTCCCGGAACAACAAAAATTGAGATATTCCTATAGAAAGCACATCAGGAACCACGATTTGAAAGAGAGGTTGTAGATCGGACACTGGAAAAGAAGTTTGCACTGTTCCTTCAGCTTTTTCGGGCAATGGCCAATCTCTCAGGTGCGGTCTCTGTTAGAAAGCCAATCACCCACGTCATTTTCGACATGGACGGTCTCTTGCTCGGTATTCCATCAATCTTTAACCCACATTCTCGTTTACCAACATAATTTCTTAAACACACATGAGTTTCAAGTTTTATTGTTTACTGGCAGTGCTCTTGTTTTGTGATTTTTAAGTTGGATAAAATTTCTGCTGAAAACTTCTGTTGGTTTGGGAATTTGATTCTGTTGTAGACACTGAGAAGTTCTATACACAAGTCCAGGAAATGATACTTGCTAGATACAACAAAACCTTTGATTGGACCCTGAAGGCAAAGATGATGGGAAAGAAAGCAATAGAATCTGCTAGGATCTTTGTTGAAGAGACTGGAATTAGCAATTCTCTTAGTCCTGAGCAGTTTCTTGCAGAAAGAGAGGATATGCTGCAGTCTTTGTTTCCCACAAGTGATCTTATGCCAGGTACGTGGATTAACTAATGGAGATTGGACACCCTTATCTAATTAACTTAAAGATTGGTGTGGCTATAAACCACGGTCTGGTCTAATGGAAACAGAAACTGACATACATACATGGGAAGATGGAGCTTATGTATGTATCTCTTGTAGATACTTGGTTTGTTCTAACTTCTAAACATTAATTCTTGAGGGAGGGGTGACCTGCTTAAAGGTTACTAATTTTTTTGTTTTTGTTTTTTTTTTGTTTAAATATACCAGTATGAATTAATAACCTGAAGTTTGAAAGTACAGAAATCTATCTGATGATGATGATGATCATCATCTATTTAGTATGAATCCTATGAATGTTTTTGCTTATTTCTATAAACTTTTTCGTAATGTTTATCAAGATAAACACTTTTCTTCTTCTTTCAACTCGTTTCATGACTAAGTTTGTGTCATAAGCTCTCATGAGAGGTGTTTGGAATCAAAATAAGTTATTTTTAACTTATTCTGATGAGTTTCAAGGCCAAATTTATGGCATAAACTCTTATGTGACTAGTTTATTGAATAACCACTCAATTAAATCTCTTATCGAAGCACATCCTAAACCTTAATTGAATAACTGTTTAATTAAGCTTATTTTCACAATTACACCCTGAATATTTAATTAAACATTTGAATGTCTTAATGCCTTACAGAAAGCATTTGAAAAACAACTGATGCATGTATTATTATGTACCTTTGTCTTATTATTAAAGGAGTTCATCACATCACCTTTATTGATCACAGTAACTCATTCTAATATGTAGGTTCCACTAGTAGCTTGTCATTCTCAATGTAAAGAGACAAATAAAATGAGTTTATTTGTGTTTTACGATAGTCTTTTAGAAAATATAATTTTGGAAAACTGAAAATCATTTTTAGGTAGGAAAACTAGATTGCATCAAGGGATAACGTGAAGTTTTTGTCCTATGAACCATCTGACAGTGGACACACTTAAAGGATGACAGTATCTTATAAATCAGAGTTTATCATACACAAAACTGTTTCCTTCATACACAGAGTAGGAACAGTAAAAGATATGCAGATAAAAAGAAGAAAAGGGGACACAAATTTGTTTACATTCGTTTGCCTCACTAACAGTACATTTAGTCCTTGGTCCACTACCAAATTTTACTATCCGGGTTACAAACAGTGTTTCCCAACACCCAAGTATTCTTTATGCTTATCTCTTCAAAGTATTTTCTTATGCAAGCCTCTTAAGTTTTCGCACACTTACCAAAAGTTAATACAATAAAAGGTATCATCAGACTATTGATAAGTACAGCTATAATATATTATGAAGGTACATAAACTCAAAATATTTACGACAGGTTCAAAAAGCATTTTTCTTAAATATTAGGAATAAATTTGAACAATAACTTTGGCAGCAATCTCTTTTCCTTTAGAGCAAATAGGATGTTTTTTGACTTGTAAAAATAGTTGTTGGAGGGAGTCTTCAATTCTTGAGAAGTGAGTTTTTTTTTTTTTTTTTTTTTAATGTTGAAGGCCATCGAATGCAGGCTTTAAATGTTATCTCCTCGCAACTGGATAGTCAAATGCATAAATAAGTTGTCTTAGAGAACTTCTTGTATTTTATCTGTGTATTAGATAAACTTCCATTATGGTGAAATATATTCTTGCTTTCTGTGAGCAATTGTCTTGTCCACAATCACATTTATATGTTATCTAATTTTTTTCGGATCTTTCACTTTTTTGATGTAGTAAATAAGTAAAATTATCAGTTCTTCTAAGTTGTTTCACCCTCTTGGTTTCAGTAGTTCACTTATCTTTCTTCAGTCTTTGATCAATTAAGCTGTTATGCATAAAGGTTCATAATTGGTCATCACCTTGCAGAATTGAACCTTTAAACTTGTAATTGTTCTTTGTTTAATTTATGCATCCTTGTTTAATATAATTGGGCATCTTCCATCCTTTTTATAGACACACATGGTAAAAACTTGAAAAGATTCATCTCAAAATGGATCTACTTGGGTTGGGATGCGAAGAAATTATGTAGGGATATATGTCTGCATCTCAAAATGGATCCTTGTTCAATATAATTGGGCATCTTCCATCCTTTTTATGGACACACATTGTAAAAACTTGAAAAGATTCTTCTCAAAATGGATTTACTAGGAATGAGAAGAAATTATATAGTGATATATGTGGATTGAACGTCAGAACTTGTACCTTCTTTAGTGTAGTTATAAGTTTTGAATTCATAAAATTCTTATTAAATGTATTTCTATCATAATTTTTGTAGCTGGTGGATGCTTCTGTGTGCTACTGATATTACTGGCATCTTATTTCATCTTCAAGTAGATTTGTTTTAAAATGCTTGTATTGGTTTGATGGTTATGCTATTGAAAATCTGTTTTTAAGGATGGATACAATTCCTTCCTTGTGCCATTTTAGCTTCATTATGTTACTACATGATAGGATATAAGATAGGGGTGAAATAACCGAACGGGGGAGTAGTGGAGAAGGCGGGCAAGGGGCCTATAAATGTAAACCTTTGGTAAGTCTGTGGAGAGGGGAGTGATATTCTTTCGTATATACAGGTCTTGAACCTAGTGAGGGGGGTTAGGCTCTCGTTAGATGGAGGGAGGTTATGCTCCCAGATAATGATTGTACGATACTTTTGGTGATGAGAATACAAATAATTCATTATTTTCTAAGTGTTTCCTGACTGTGATTGTGTGAGTGAGTTGCCATCGTTAGGTTTCGAAACAGGAACCTAACAAATTGGTCCGACCTGCCGTTTCGAGAAGCTACCAGATCATCGAGGGTATCAACAGGAGAGTTGCCGGATTCGAAGTGGGGTGTGCCAGTTCGAGAAGCTACCGTATCGAGAAGCTGTCGTTTTGAGAAGTTGCCGTTTCAAGAAACTGCCGGATCGACGCCGCCGGAATCGTGTGGGGGTGAGGGAAATTGCGGTTGATAGAATGAAGGCGCAGACAAGGGAGTTGCGACCATATTATGCAGCAATATGCCAAGATTATGCTGCAATACGCCAAGATTTGCAAGAAATCATAAGGATGTTGGGTGGTCGAGGCCACAACCAGGACGGCCAACATTGGGACCAGCGAGA